TCCTATGTATAATGAACACGTACACTATATTATGACAGTAAAACATCCATACAGTACAACCTCGATTCAACGTACTATATGGGACCGACCCCAGTTCGTTGGAGCGTTGGATTCGTTGCAAGAGGTGACCTTCAGGAGGTGTTTGCATCAGTGTCTTTATTTTTCTTGTAGACAATAAAAATGCATTATCATATTATATACTGTACCTATATATTATTACTCTACTAACAAATACTGTTACATTTGTTATTTACCTTACTGTTGGAGTTAAGTCCATCTTGAAGTCTCATGGAGTTGTGAATGCTGTACAGTAAATACATACTGTAGTGTATTATGCCGTTAACACTGTGTTGAGTAGTTCTGTTGTATGTTGAGTACTACAATAAAGTTTATGAAAACTATTGTACACTAAAATTACTGCAACTTTAATTTTAACACTATATTTTGATTTGTCAAGAGGCTGGAGCGTTCATTCCGCGACTTTGTTGGACATATCGGCACAATCAAGGAACATCCGTGCACCATGTTGTCTCCAAATGCACTCGTGTCAGTGATGGCTGACTGGTGGGTGGATGGGCAGGCAGGGAGGCAGGCAGGCAGGCAGGGTGGGAGGCAGGCAGGCAGGCAGAAAGGCAGGGAGGGAGGCAGGCAGGCAGGCAGGCAGGCAGGGAGGCAGGCAGGGAGGGAGGGAGGCAGGCAGGCAGGCAGGCAGGCAGGCAGGCAGGCAGGCAAGGAGGGAGGGAGGCAGGCAGGCAGAGCTTGGGAGGGAGGCAGAGATTGGGAGGGGGTAGGCAGGAAGGTAGGCGGGCAGGCAGAGCTTGTGAGGGAGAGGCAGGGAGAGTGGCACAGAGGGAGGGAGGCAGGGAAGGAGAGGATGGAAATGGATTGATGGAAGGATGGAGGGAGGGATGGAAGGATGGATGATTTGAGGGTGTGTGTGTATGGGCTGTAGGGGTGGGGGGTGGGGAAGGTGTGTCGGTGGTGGTGAAGAGACCGACTCGACTCGGTGATAACCCTAACTCTGACCCAGTTAACTTTTTTTTTAACTTTATTTGTTTCTTCAATTCTGGATGGATGGAGGGAGAAAGGGGATGGATGGATGGAGGGAGGGGATGGATGGATGGATGGAGGGGGGGGATGGATGGAGG